GGGGAAAGCGCACAATTTGAATTGAGCGCTTTTCCTGCCTCCCTCTTCTGGTCCGTAAGTCGATTCTTCGACTGCAAGTCGAAGTAAAATTTTGTGGCCAGAGAAGTACAGATTTCGAAAAGTTCGTAAGTGGAGCCAACCGTACGTCAAGACTCCACTGTACAACAATCTACATTTATTCAAATACAGTAATGGCATCTTCTGGTTGCTGCACAATAGTGGAGGACAGGGTTTCACTTAACTGGGTCTTATTTTTGGAGTAGGGCTTATATTATGAGCATCCTAAAAAGTTGTACTAGAGCTTATTTTCAGGAAAGCAGGGTAGGTATGAACATTTTAGAAACTACCAAGCTGTCTGCCCTTCTTTTCAGAGGTCAAAAATGTTCACTAGAGGATGTTCAAGATCTCACATTTTTAAATGTTCCATATAGTAGTACTTAGCATAATGTTCTTGATAGAATGAGGCCACAGATTTCTTAAGCTACATGCAAATACAGGGACCACATAGAGAGTGAGAAACCAGGGGCATTCCAGATGTTTTTGGATTTCAATTCCTGTTATCCCTTACTGTTTGCCATGATAGCAGGGCTTGGTAGGACTTGAAGTCCAGTGGCATTGAGGGAACCACAGGTTCCCTACTCCTATTTTATGTTGTGTTATCTTCTCAGACTAGAAGATTTCTACTTTCTACAACTTAAATTTTATTTAACTTATTTATTTATTTATTTCACTTGTTTTTTTCTAATTATATATGTTTCATAGCCTAAGAACCTACTGTGGCAAATAGCATTATGTATTAAAGCTAGACATGGGGATGGTTAAAAAAACGAATCACGTTATTCATCAGAAATTGCTGGTTCGTGTAATATTTGTCACTTCATATTTTTCAAACCCTGAGACCCGGACAAATACAAAGTGACGAATATTTACCCTTTTTATTCATCCCTTCATTGGGCCTACAGACCAAACTAGCCTGCTGGAACGGCTGTTCTGGCAGCCTCTTTTGCTGTCTGGCATGCCCACGCTCTCTGTCCCCACAACCTACTCCCCCTTCCCACTGCCCCCGTTGCCTCCCTACCTTGTCCTGCTTCTGCTGCCATGCCACCTCCTCCACCGAAATGGAAGCTAGGCTATCCTGCTCTCTCTGCCCATGAGCCTGGCCATGGGCTGTTCAAAACAAAAACTGATGAACCAATTCATTGTTCATCAGAAAAGCCAGGGGAAATTTGTGGTGCGTGGTTCATCAGAGATCCATTGTGGATCATAGGCCAGACCAGCGTTCCTGCCTGCAGAGGAGTCATCATTACCTGCCATCTCACAGGACACTGGTGTTGCTGCTGCTGTTGGCTACTAGCTTCCCCAGTGAAAGCTTGGCTCCAGACTCCTACTGCCCTGCAGAACTGGGTCTGTGCAACTGGGTGCTTCCCACCCCCTTGTCAACACCAGCCACCTGGCTCAGGGGAGAAGGGGCTTTTAAGTAGAGCCTTTTCAGGGATGGATTGGTGGGATGTTGGTTGGTTGGTTTGAGGGTTGAGAAATAAGGGTGAGGTCCATTTTTCTTGCCTAGAGGAATTCCTTTTTATTTACCTGCCTGTTGCTGTCAGTCTGGAGTGGGAGGGATGTGTCTTTCAAATAAGGAGGCCAATAAGGGGGAGCAGGGAGATGCCACTGGCATTACGCTGGGTAGAGGGGAGATACGGCGAGAGGAGACAAGAGAATCATTGTAGGAGAGGGGGAGGGAACAGGATCCTAGTCACCCCCAAATGTGTCCCACATCAGACAGCCTGGATAGCTGTGGCAGTAGTCCTCCTGGATTAAAAATGCTGCTGCTGAATGCCATGTCAGTAAAAGGGGAAACATCTGCCATCCAGGACCTGATCCTGGATGAGCAGGCTGACCTGGCCTGTATTACAGAGACCTGGCTGTATGAAATTGGGGGAATTAGTCTCTCCCAGCTTTGCCACCTGGGTACTATGTGCAGCAGCAGGCCAGATCTGGGGCGAGGGAGGTGGAGTTGCAGTAGTCTATCGTGATTCCATCCCCCTCACCAAGTGCCTTGTTCCACAGTTTTTGGGGTTCGAGTGTGTATACTTAAAGGTGGGCACCCAGGACAGAATAGGGGTTCTGTTGGTGTACCGTCCACCCTGCTGCTCAACAGTCTCCCTTCCTGAGCTGACTGAGTTGATATCGGAGGTGATGTTGGAGTCTTCTAGGCTGATAATACTGGGGGACTTCAATGTCCATACTGAGACCAACTTATTAGGAGCAGCTCAGAACTTCATGTCTTCCATGACAACCATGGGTCTCTCCCAAGTGGTTTCTGGCCCCACACATATAGCAGGGCACACTTTGAGCCTTGTATTTCATGCTGGGCAGGATGGAACTCTTAATCTCTGCAGGGGTGGAAAACCTATTAGGATGGCCCACCCCAGGAGACTGATGGATCCAAGTGGTTTTCTAATGGGTCTTGGGGAGTTTCCTGTTGCGTCGGTAGGCGATCCTGTCAAAGCTCTGGTTGATCTCTGGAATGGGGAAATGGCTAGGGCGGTGGACAGAATGGCTCCTAAGTGTCCCCTCCTACAAAGTAGAGCCAGGCAAGCCCCCTGGTTCACTAGGGAGCTGGTAGTGACGAAACGAGTGGGACGGAGACTAGAGCAATGATGGCAGAAAACTCAGAGGGAATCTGACCAAACATGGGCTAGAGCCCGTTTGAAGGCCTATTCCGTGGCAATGGTTGCAGCAAAGAAAAGGTTATTTGCTGCTTCCATTGCATCTGCACAAATCCTTCCAGTGGAGTTGTTTCTAGTGGTCAGGGAGTTCGTACATGCCCTCACCAACAGAACAAAATATTGACCACTCCACAACCCACTGTGAGGAATCTGCACAACACTTTGCAGATAAAGTTGCTTGGATCCACTCTGACTTGGATGCTGTAATTGATACAGACCCAGTGGATGTAACTTTGCAATGGTTAAACTGCTGTACTGCAGCCGAAACTGTGCTCACGACCCGGGGTTCAATCCTAGGTTGACACAGCTCAAGGTTGACTCAGCCTTCTATCCTTCCGAGGTCGGTAAAATGAGTACCCAGCTCATGAGGGGGGGAGGGCAGTGTGTAGCCTGCATAATTAAATTGTAAACTGCCTAGAAAGTGCTTGAGGTGCTGGGGTGGTATATAAGCAGCGTGCTTTGCTTTTGTTTTTTTAAGGAGAACAGTGGAGTAAAAATATTTTAAATAATATCTTTTAAATAAAATGAATATAAATACATTATTTCCCCCTTCTGAAACTTGTGCAGCTATAGTGCTGTTGTTTTTTATAGTCAGATGGTAGGAATATTGCTTGTTTTTATTATTATAGCAAGGAAACATCTGGGTCAAAATTTTCTTTTTCCCTCTTTGCTTTTTAGAATGTTGAAGAAGGAAGCCCAGCTAATCAGGCTGGCCTGAAGGCTGGAGATCTCATAACACACATCAATGGAGAGCCAGTACATGGCCTTGTTCATACGGAAGTCATAGAACTGTTATTGAAGGTACATTGTATTTTAACTTTATTTAAGATACCTTGATCTGAAACTTTATTACTTCTCTTCTGGTGGTTATTTTTTGCTAGTGATAGCACCTTATATTGTTAGGATTTTTAGCATATCTACTGAGTTTGATATAAGTTACAAAACGAAAATACAGTTCTGGGTCTAAACTCATAGTGGATGTTTGATCTCCACTGAAACATTTGCTGGAATAATGCAAACCATTGAGTCCTGCCATAAATGTGAGCATTGCTCAACCAACAATTTGAAAATATGAATATTGTACATTTTTGCCTGTCTTTAAACTAATTTATACACATTATTTTTGAGCTTGTTGAACTTAATTTTAAATAGAACAGGTAGATAGTTGAGGTGGAGATGCATTCCCATGTCAGTGAAGAGAAAAACAACATAGGTTTAATGAAAGAAAATGAAGCATTGCTTGCAGTTACCTGTCCTCTGGACTGTGTGATCATATTTCACCACCCTTCAGTTTTTCTGATAGCAACTGACAAATGCCATTGCTTTTTAATAGAGGCATCCAGCAGCTGGCCTTTACAACTACTGTATGGTGATTTCCATATTACTGCAAAACACATGCTGGATCTATTTTTGTTCTTTAGATTGTGGGCTTTTAAGACATGTTCTAACAAAGTAATCAAAGTAGTTATTTAAAAGCAGTGTTGCTGTATGAAGAAACACCCTCTATAATAGCCCTACTTTATTACGGCATTTAAATGTTCCAGGTTATTATAAAATATATAATTGGATGAAAGACCACCAGGAAACTTTATATATATATAGCATCAATGAAGCAGGCAATGAAGGCAAATTGGTTTACATATACATTTAGGAATATATGAAATATATGAAATCAGATCATTTGTCCATCTAGTTTGATTTTGTGAACGTAGCAATTTTTCAAGGTTTTAGGCAGGATTCTTTCCTAGCCCTGCATAAAGTTTCCTGGTGGTCTTTCATCCAATTATTCATGAAGCTGTACCACCTCTTAGCTTCCAAAATCAGATTCATATGTTCATAGCAGAATGAGGGTGCTTGAATGAGTAACGTGAGAGCACAGTTATTTCTTATCCCTCAGCAAAGTAACTGAAGATATCATATGTTTCCTCTCTATTATATTCTATACTACATTGAAATCACTTCTAGTATGTTTTATTTAGCTACTTCCTGCATTTAAACTTGGTTGGTAATGTTTTTGATATTTTTTCAGAAATTTTATTTTTTGTACAAAGTGTGCGGAGACATTAGGTAAAGGTAAAGGTTCCCCTTGACAAATTGTCCAGTCGGGTCCGACTCTAGGAAGCAGTGCTCATCCCTGTTTCCAAGCTGTAGAGCCAGCATTTTGTCCATAGACAGTTTCCGTGGTCATGTGTCCAGCGCGACTAGACAAAAAATGCAGTTTCCTTCCCATCGTGGTACCTATTTATCTACTCGCATTTTTACATGCTTTCGAACTGCTAGGTTGGCAGGAGCTGGGACAAGCTATGGGAGCTCATTCTGCCATGTGGATTCAGTGTTCCGACTTTCTTTTGTATTTTTTGTGTTATTGAATGTATTGTTGTTATTACAGTGGTGCCTTGCTTAATGAGCGCCTCGTTTAATGACGAATCCGCATAGCGACGGATTTTTTGCGATCGCATAACGATGTTTTTAATGGTAAAAAATTGCTTTGCAATGATCGGCAAGCTGTTTCACTTACCGATTTTTGCATAGCGATGCTTTAAAAACAGCTGATCGGTGGTTCCAAAATGGCCACCAAAATGGTGTTTTCGCGCCATTTCCTTGCATACCGGGCAGCGAAAATGGCGGCCATATGGAGGATTTTCGCATAAAGGTGAGTTTTAAGCCCATAGGAACACATTAAACGGGGTTTAATGCATTCCTATGGGCTTTTTCTTTTTGCATAGTGACGAATCCGGATAGCGACGATTTTTCCGGAACGGATTATCATCGCTATGCGGGGCACCACTGTACTGTATTTTTCCATGTATAAGACGCTGCCATGTATAAGATGCCCCCCACTTTTCCAACCCCAAATTTCTTTCTTTGCAAGAAATTGGAGGGGGAAGGCAGGGATCAAAGTGCTTTGATTCCTGCTTTCCCCCTTCACTTTCTTGGGAAGAAAGTGCTTTCCCCCTCCACTTCCTTTGCAAAAAGCTGCTTTCCCCCTCACAAAAAGTGGAGGGGGAAAAGCAGCTTTTTGCAAAGAAAGTGTGTGGGGGAAGCATTTTCCTCGCAAGAAAGTGGAGGGAGTCAGCGATTACTTCTTTCCTCCTCTATTTTCTTGAGAGGAAAGTTCTTTTTGAAAGGGGGAAGCAGCTTTTTGCAAAGAAAGTGGAGCGGGAAAGCACTTTCCCCTCAAGAAAGTGGAGGAGGAAAGAAGTAATTGCTTTCATCCTCTTGCGAGGAAAGTGCTTTCCCCCTCCACTTCCTTTGCAAAAAGCTGCTTCCCCCTTTCAAAAAGAACCTTCCTCTCAAGAAAATAGAGGAGGAAAGAAGGAATCGCTGACTCCCTCCACTTTCTTGCGAGGAAAATGCTTCCCCCACACACTTTCTTTGCAAAAAGTAGAGGGGGAAAGCAGGGATCAAAACGCTTTGATCCCTCCTCCCCCTCCTTACTACCAGGTATAAAATGACCCTGAATTTTTCCTCAAATTATTTTAGGAAAAAGTGTAGTTTTATATACAGAAAAATACAGTGAATTGTACAATTGTATCAGCTCATTTGGATGGTTCTGTTAGAGCCACTTTCCACAGAGTTCAATGCATATACATAACAGTCAGATAAATCACTTCAGTGATAACTCTTGACATGCTCTGTGCTTTCTGGTAGGAGCCATTCACTGATGGGATTTCGTTACACATTCTGTCACAGCATGATGTGCATTTGTTGCTTTGTTATCAGAGTAACATACTAACAAATGAGGAGCCTACTGCATCTATTTCTTTTCCAAACTATGGTCAAGATACAGAGACCCAGATGGTTTTGTAACTATCAGTCTGTTTCTGCAACTCTTCTTCATGAAAATGATGCTGATGCAGCAAATCGAAGTGCTGTACAATTTTAAAGCTCCTTTGGATGTCAAGCACTATTTATGCAGTTGGTCATGCCCAGATTGTGAACAACTATATGTATTCCTTAAAATTATATAATTAACTTCAGCTGTAATGCACTGCAAAACACAAGCTAAAAATCTTATTAGTTCTTATTTAAGGTGGGTGTACTTTACCATAGCTAATTAACAGTGTACTAGGTCATGTCTTAGTTGTGTGCCTGGTCATGTACCCAAATGTACAACAAAGGTGTTCCCTTGGCATTTCATCAATTAGTCACAATTAACCATGACAAGTTATACAAACCATACATGAACACCAATAGAATTCTAGACATAAGTAAAAATATAAAACAGAAAAAAGGCATTACTCAAACTAAATATTTAGACTTCATATTGGTTAGTTCAGGAAAATTAAGGCTTAAATGCTGTTTTGGTAAGCAGTAGTCCTAAAAGAGATCTAATTTTAGAGACAAAGTTAGTCTCATTCATTTTAGTTGTTGCTCTGTGACCCATTCTTCCCTATATGAATCCCATTGTGTATTTCTGGACCATACACGTTACATTATGGTTCTGTCAAAGAACAAGAATAACCAGGAATAATCTTCTAAAGGCCCTACACCCCGGGATCAGTATAATAAACCAGACTACTGAGCTATATAAAACTAGTACAGAGCAAAGCTTTGGTAGTGAATTTAACCCAGAGGAAGTTTTTCTTACTAATTATTCTGCATCTTCAGTTTGGAGAGAAAGAGGCCAATAACAGCTCACTGCTTAAACATTCTTATTTGACAGAGTGGCAATAAAGTGTCAATTACTACAACACCTTTTGAGAATACTTCAATAAAAACAGGACCAGCTAGAAGAAATAGCTATAGGGGCCGAATGGTTAGACGGAGTAAGAAAACAAAAAAGAAGGAAAGTTTGGAAAGGTAAGTTGTGGTTGCTTTTTTTAATGCAGAAAGATTCTGCAGTATTTATGGACATTACGTCTGTCTCTCCAAATACAGAGGTATCACTCCTGTTCCACATGTTCTTCACTTTCTTACTGTGTTATTACCATGAAATTACCAGTCCTGTTCCCAGTCTTTCACTGCCTTTATTTTTAAGATTCTCCTAAATTTTTCAAGACTAGATAAAATACAGAAATAAACTGTTTCAGGAAAAAAATGTTGTAAGTTGTGAGACACGTCTAATTCATGTGTTGCTTGCAATAGTGAAAAATTCTCCATTAAACTTCACTAAAATATAAACCCAGTAATAATATAGTAGTGTGTTTGTTTAATGGATGTCATGAGCTTTTGAACACTTAAGGATCAGGCTTTGTTTTGGGTTTTTTTGTTTTGTTGCTTGGATTTTTAAAGAATTTCCTCCAGCCTTGAAGGATGAAAATCTCCTTCCAAGTGAATGGGTTGTTTGTTTGTTTGTTTATACCCATCAAGAGGATGCAAGTTGGCTTACAGCATTAAAAAAAATATTACATTTTTTTTAAAAGCCCCGTTTTTCAGAGCATTGTCTTAGGCAGCCAGTAACTGAGAAGAAGCCTACCTAAATAGCAAGGCCTTTGCCTCCTTATGGAAGAAGAACAGAGAGCCAGCCTGGCTTCCCATGAGAGGGAACTCCACCGTTTGATAGCAGTGACAGAAAAGTCGGAATAGCTGATACTCTGGAAGACAAAAACAAAATTCAAAATGAACTAGATAGGCTTGAGCACTGGGCTGAAAACGACAGAATGAAATTTAACAGAGGTAAATGTAAGTTACTGCACCTAAGAAAAAGAAACCAAACACGTAAATGCAAGTTACTGCACCTAGGAAAAGGAACCAAACACACAGTTACAAGATGTGGGATACCTGGCTCAGCAATACTGCGAGTGAGAAGAATCTTGGAATTGTCATAGGTCACAATGCAATTTTAGGCTGCAGTAACAGAAGTATAGTCTCCAAATCCCGCAAGGTACTCTTCCCCCTTTATTCAACACTGGTTAGGCCTCATCTTGAGTACTGTGTCCAATTCTGGACACCACATTTCAAGAAAGGATGCTGACAAATTGGAACAAGTTCAAAGGCAGGCAACAAAGATGGTTAGGGGTCTAGAAAGCAAGTCCTATGAAGAAAGACTGAAAGAGCTGGGCAGGTTTAGCCTTGAGGAAAGCATGAAGGTAAATATGATAGCAGTTTTCAGATACTTGAAAGGCTGTCGTACAGAGGGGGGGCAGGACCTATTCTCAATCAGTCCAGAGTGCAGGACAGGTAACAATGGGCTCAAGTTTCAGGAAGCGAGGTTTCGGTTGAATATTGGGGGGGGGCAGAAATCTAACTGTTAGAGCAGTAAAGCAGTGGAACCAATTACCTTGAGAGGCAGTGAGTGCTCCAGCACTGGAGACATTCAAGAAAAATTTAGACATCCACTTTGGCCTTACATGCTCCTTCCAGGTTCATTATTCTGTGATTCTAATAAGGCCTTCTCTCATATCCTCACCAAATGCACTTCTGTTCCTTCCAGGTTCATTATTCTGTGCTTCTAATAAGGCCCTCTCTCATATCCTCACCAAATGCACTTCTGAGGGTGGCAAGACAAAGAAGTCGTCTCCTGATTCTACACAGTGGGCTGTCGAGTGGTTTGCATTTTCTTCTTCTGGACCAGGTCATTATAGGCTTTCTACCACTTGAAATAGCTCAGCCAGATGACACTGTGTAAACACAATTTTGGCAAAGAAGAATAAAAGCTTTTGTTAGTGTTTAAAAAGCTTGAAAATCAAAACTCATACAGTATAAATTAGAACAGAGGTCCCCAACCTCTGGTCCACCTGAGCCGGACCGGGCTGCGAAGACAGACCCCTGCCCCACCCTCTGCACGCACTCACCCTGACACAGCTGATTTGCACATGCATGTGTGCTCTCCCGACACAGCTGATTTGCACATGCATGTGCACTCCAGCACACCCGTGCAACTGCCGCACTGACATTTGCACATGCAGCCACACAAGCACAGCGCCACCGTATGTGCACAAGCACGTGCCCACACAAGCTCTGCAACACCCGTGCAACTGCTGCACTGCCATTTGCACATGCGGCCACACAAGCACAGCACCACCGTATGCGCACAAGCACGTGCCCACACAAGCTCTGCAATGCCCTTTGTGCATGTGCACAATCGCACATTCGTTCGTGTGAATGCACGTGCGCACGAGGGGGGTGCCCCGCCTTCCCCAGCCAGTCTGCAGGGTGAAAAAGATTGGGGACCCATGAATTAGATTATTTCAGACTTCCGGAGCCAAAAGATTAGAAGACGACTTTTGTACAAGTTTTGGATTGTTGTAGTTCTGGCTCCAGAATTCCCTAAAAGACCATAATGTCTGGCTTCAGTATTACCTAAAGCTATCACAGTCTTATTATATGTTGTACAACCTTGCAGGATAAAAGAAACATTATTAAAACCAAGATAAAACTACTAGGAGCATGTGTTTTTACAGAATAATTCTTACCTTTCCAATAGGAGGAGATCTCTCTTCAAAAAGCTGGCTAAGCAACCCTCACCCCTGCTCCATACTAGTCGGAGTTTCTCCTGTCTAAACCGATCACTCTCATCAGGGGAGAGCTTGCCGGGCTCCCCAACTCACAGCTTGTCTCCTCGCTCACCAACACCAAGCCTCAGGTCCACCCCAGATTTCCCCTCAGGTGAGTATTTTTTACATGGGGATACTTAGTGTAAGAAAAAGATCTGCTGTAATAGTACTCAGATGCTCACACACATGAACTGAGCTCTCCAGTTATGAATGAAGCAGCACTCAGTATTAAGAATATAAAGCTGGACTTTGAAAATAAAAGGGTAAAATGTTTTGAAAGCGATTGTAAAAGAGTCAGAGTGAGTTGTTTCCAAGAAATAGCTGCATTTTTGCAGCAGAAACAGTGGTTTTTGTAGCACCTTAAAAGGCTGACAAAATTTATTTGGCAAGAACTTTTTTGGACTGTAATCCACTTTTCAGATACATGTATAAATAAAACAAAATTTAAGCTTTAAGGGACAAAAATTGGTCTTTTGCAGTGGCTCAGAATTAAACCTTCTGATACATTTAATATTTTTGGGCTTAATTCACTCCATGGACATATCAGCTAAAGGAGACCAGTACTGTATCAGCAAAGTATTCTGCAAAAATCTGAAAGTAAGTCAAGTTAATTTAAACATTTAAGGAGTAAGGCACGTAGGAAAGCTTCAAGAGCTATAGCAAGGTGACCTTTGAAAACCAGTGATGTTCAAGCCATGCTGGAATCAACAAATTGATTTTCCCACCTCAATCTGTAAGTTATATAGAAATGAATTTTTCATATTTTATTAAAAAGCATAGATAAAGAATCTAGTGAAGTTTTTCTTTCTTTCTTTTCCAGGTACAAATTCTTCTCAAAGTAGCTCTCCTAGTTCAAGTGCACCCAATTCTCCAGCTGGTTCAGGGCATATTAGACCCAGCACCCTTCATGGTTTGGGCCCCAAGCTTGGTGGGCAAAGATACAGGTCAGGAAGACGCAAATCTGCTGGTAGCATTCCTCTCTCGCCTTTGGCACGGACTCCTTCTCCAACACCTCAGCCAACCTCTCCTCAGAGATCTCCATCACCTTTGCTGGGACATTCAGTTGGAACCCCCAAAATAGCTCAAGCATTCCCTAGTAAAATGCACTCTCCTCCCACTATTGTTAGACATATAGTGAGACCTAAGAGTGCAGAACCACCAAGGTCACCATTGCTCAAAAGGGTTCAGTCAGAAGAGAAACTTGCCCCTTCTTATGGCACTGACAAAAAACACTTGTGCTCACGCAAACACAGCCTAGAGGTGACGCAGGAAGAAGTTAATAGAGAGATACCTCAACGAGAAACAACACTACAGAGCCTGGAGGAGAATGTATTGGATGCCCCATCGCTTACTCGAGTTAGACCTGCAGAACAGGGCTGCTTAAAACGCCCCATCTGCAGGAAGGTAGGCAGACAAGAATCTATTGATGAGTTGGACAGAGAAAAATTAAAGGTCAAGATTGTTGTGAAGAAGCAAGATCTGGCAGAGAAACAGGAGTATTTGCAGAAAGCAAGCACTGTACATGAACTTTGTGGTGAATCAGAATGCTCTGTTATATCAGGTCTAGAGGAGAGAGATGGCAAGAAATCATTTCAGAAAGCTTTGGAAAGATCAAACCACTTTGAAAATAAAATTGTAGCTCTGGAGACGACACAGTCATTAGGTGGCATGTTAAAAGACACCCTTCAAAAGAATGCAAGCATGAGATCAAATGATTTTACTGCTTCAGATGCTCATGTATCATGTCATGGCCTTCCACTTAATGAATTCAGTCATTTGTCATATGACTTCAAAAGAACTCCCCCTCCATGTACATTGCAGGATGGTCTGCCTTCCTCATCTGACAAGATACTGAATGCAAAAGGAGAAAATGTAGATAAAAATGCACCAACAAAAGAATTTGTCAAATTTGAAAGATTAGATAGTAAACTTGCAAATATTGATTATCTACGGAAGAAAATGTCCTTTGAAGAAAAAGATGACAGCCCTTGTCCAGTGCTAAAGTCCAAAATGACATCAAATGTACACGAGTGTCATCAGCTCAATACAGTCAGATCTATAAACATGCTGCAGGATTCTAATTCAGTTGCTGAAAGCCGATCTTTTATCAGCAGTGCTCATGCTTCTCAGATTAACTCTGTTCCTTTTGTTCCCCTCAAAGCCTTGAATGGCCGAACAGAAACTGTTGCAGAGAAGTCAGCCTTGATTTCTACAGAATCATCTGTTCGAAAGAGTCCTTCAGAGTATAAGCTGGAAGGAAGATCTGTGTCTTGCTTGAAACCAATTGAAGGCACTCTAGATATTGCTTTACTGTCAGGACCACAGGCTTCAAAGACAGAAGTGTCTTCATGTGCATTCCCAGGAGGCCAGAATACCAAAAATGATGCAGTACTCACATACCAAGATAGCAGCATTGTAAAGATGGAGCCATTTTGTCAGAAAGAGCTGCCATCGACTGTCCAACAATCTAATAAATCAGATCTGATCCAATGTTCAAAGCCAAATAAAAGTTCTCAAAGCTCACCAGCAAAGTCTGTGACTATTGAACAGCGATCAGAAAAAACACTCTCTGATGTAAGTGCTAAATGTAATCCCTCTGTTAGGGTGACAAACCAAAAAAAGGAGTTAGTCCAACTTAGTGCAAATGAGACTAAATCTAATAGTCTTCATAACCAGAGTTCTGTCCAGGCACAAGGAAATCCTGAGAAAGCCAAACGAAGAGAGAAGAAAATCACCAAAGAAGTGCCTGACAGCCACACAAGGGCTCAACAAAGTAGTGATGTGCTTCCAGAGAGAACTGAGATCACTGAGGATTCCTCAACCAGGAGATCTATAGCAGAGATGCCCCCAAATCAAGATAACAAACGCATTCCAAGGTGTTCTTTTGATGTAGCTTCTCAGTCACAAGTACGTGGAATAACAAAAGTTCAGGTAACAAACTCCAAAATGAAGCCCAAAGATGTCAGAAATGCACACAAACAATCTTCAAAAGAGGATGATAACAGCTGTAGAGAATCTTCAGCAAATGACTTGGATATACAGAAATCTAATGTATCACTCAAGCCTGAAACTTCACTTCTCCAAATATCATTACAAACATCTTCAGATCCTAATTCTGCCAAACTGGAAGATAATATGGCTGGTTTGACTGTGCTGAAGGATAGCCATCCTGGCCTTAGAGCAAAAGAGCAGAAGCAGTCAAAAAATGCACAGCCTTCAAGTGGGGACAAAGAGCCCAATTTTGTTTCTAGGCAGCAAAATAGCAATTCTGATACTCATGTTGCAAAAGAATCATTCAACAGGCCATCTGTAGTAAATGCTTCCACATTTTGCGGCAATCAAGAAAATCTCAAACTTGCATCATGTATAGAAAATAGCAGTGTTAAATCTAAACTTATATCTGATCATTGTTCCTCTAAATTAAAACATTCTGAGAAACAAAAACAAATAGTTATAAATGTAAAAGAAAAAGAAGTGAATGTTCAAGCTTTACCTGTTTCTTCAAAGGAGGAGAAAAGTGTAGGTAAAACTGCTCTTGATACTTTTTCATATCCTTCAAGCTCTCAAAGGAAGATAAACAATGAGCATATCCAGATTGAAAAGCATCTGGTCATAGAAAGTGGACCAGATCCTTCAGTACAAATCAATTGCACCATTCCTGAAAAACAACCTAAACCATCAAGTAAAAACCAGGCAGGAGCAGTATCGCCAGACAACACTAAGCATTTTCAAAAGCAAGATGTGACAAGTGACTCTGTTGATCAAAAGCCATATCACATGCGCAACAAGCAAAGTGTGCCTCCAAAGGCATCTGCTGTGAAAGAGTGTCCCTTACTGAACAAACAGGTCGACAAGGGCCCAAGCAATCAGACCATCTCAGCAGAAAAACTTATTGATGGAAAAAAATGCACTGATGCACTTTATTTTCAAAATGACCATGGGAAATTGGCTCCTAGCCTTTACCTTTCCAGCTGTGATGCCCGGGGGAAAGCTGCAGAAAAGGCAGCCCCAGGTAGCAAGAACTTGCAGGACAGTAAAGGCAAAGGACACATGAACCAGAAGCAGCCAGCAGAAGGGAGCAAGCAACTGGCAGCAAAACACTCCTCATCCACTCTTGTGCAGAATTCTTGTCGCACAGCTGCAATTACTGTGAAGCAGCTTGACTCCCCATCCAGCTTTCCTGACTCTAGACAGGAAACCCATGTTTTGCCTTCAGTGAAAGCTAAGATGGGGTCCTCAGAACCACTTTCACTTAGCTGTAGGGAACTGAAAAAGCAAACCGGCTCTTCCATGCCAGATGGCAGGGCAGAAATTATTAGAAATGTTTCAGTGTTGGGCATACACTGTGCCCCATCCACCATGGAAGAGCACATTCCCATTTCAGACTTAGGGGGAAAGCCAAAAGGCCAAGAGAGGTCTCATTCAGCTAACCCTGGGGACATAAAGGGAAGGGATTCCAGTCTGCCTCAGTCTTCTGCTGCAAAAAAACAGAATGTAGGTAAAGATTTGCCAAAGTCAGGGGCTTCAGCTGACTCTCTCAGTGCACTTTCATCTGACAAAGACTCTGCTCGTCAGAAGCGAGGAAAGGACGCCTCACGGAGTAGCCCCCACAAAAAAACTTCCCAATAATTGAAAAGTAAGATTTCTCAGCTGAAAATCTAGAATCTTGTCTTATCTTCAGAAATCAGCACTGTGTAGTATTTTCTTGCAGAAAAACTTTCCGCAGCACTTAAGCAGGGTGTGTAAAGAAAGGACTTGTTTTTTTCCCTCAAAAAGCCTTCCTAAATGTAACCGGTTAAACTGTTACCATATTGTATTTGTACAAAAATACTTTTACAATTTGAGAAACACATTGTGGGGCAGGGGATAGCAAACTGTCTGTAAATACTTAGCTGTGTGTATTGTTTCGAATGTAGTGCATCTCCTTTGCTGATCGCATTGTTTACCTTTTCAAGAACAGTTGCTTTTCCACTGGATTGCCATAATCTAAGAAGAAGCAGAATTACTAAAGCTTTGATCTAGCTGAACCGACAGATATATTGGTCTAATGGGGAGGATGGTGTCCCCCTTTTTCTACTTGTTCAAAATTCTAAGCATAAGTATAAAATTTATGAAATTATAAATCTAGTGGATGTTAGTGAGTTTAGATGTGTATTTTAAGAGCTTGAGGTTGATAGTATTATAGTGAACTAGACTGATTAGTTTAAGTAGATAACTAAATAGCAGCTCTTTAATGCACAAAGTCTGCCTTTTGGCTTAGACTACACCAGTTATAGGAAAAGGGAAAAGTCTTCATTAACATTCTCACACCATCCTGTTCACATAGTAGCTTTCTGATAGTATGAAGTCCCTTTACATCTCCTTTTCAATGAATTACCCTAGGCGCTAAGTCTTGAGAAGCTTGAGGTGAGCTTCTGCTGTTGATTCAATCCACATTTATTTACTATCAGACTTTTATGATGTGAGACCTGGGAAAATACATATAGTTTGAAATGTTAAACCTTTAATTTACATTAACTATTTGTCTTTGTTATCATACTATCTGGATTTGAGCATTTAGTAGTTCAGCTTTCTTTCCTATTTTATGACATAAGTCGTGTGTTGGAGGGGAGAAGAGAGAGGCATTTTCCAACATTGCATCTAGAAAATATATTCAGCACCTGATTAATATCTTATTACCTAGCTGGGGGCCTTACGTTATAGATTGAGCTTGCTGTTTTTAGCAAGTCATCCTAGGTTTCGCATTATTTTTGAAGTCCATTATTTTTAGCTCTACACATTTCATATTGTGACCTTTATTTGTATGCAAAAGAAGTAAATGTAGAGTTTTTTAAATAAAAAAAAGATATGTTTTTTGTAAAAAGGGGGTGGGTGGGAGCTATTTGAGCTATTTGGTGCTAGAATGTGAGTTTCCTTTTTATTTTTGCTAGGCCTTATTTGAATTTTGTGTCTTGTGGGATATATCCTGTTTCTCTGATTAAATTTTGAACAACAGTGTTTGCTTCGAGACTTAGATGGCAGTACTCCAGAAAGATTATCACAGGTAAGTGTGTTAGAGTGATCAAGATCTAAAAAACAACTTTTGAATGTTTCACCTTCAATATTTCCTTTTTAAAAAATCTCTTGAAGCTGACCCTCTTCCCAGGGTGTTTCCCCCATTTCTCTCAGTATATTTTCCCAAGCACAACACAACTATGAATTGGATGTTAGTAAAAAAAAAAAAAAAAACTTGTGAGTATGTTAACTGTATTAACCCTGAGGGGGAAAAACTAAATTGTGTGGGATTTGGTTCAATTTTTAAAAAGTCTTTGCTAAGAAAATAAAATTACCAGCAAGTCTCTGGAATTTTCCACGAATTGCTAGTAAATTTGTTCCATGGGCTCATGAATTATTTCAAAGAACTGAAGGTATATATATTTTTAAGACCATGGTCCTGGCATTTACAGTCTGTATCTGTACTTTGGGAATACAATCATTACAGAATAATCCACTCCAGAATCATGACATTTCTATCTGGAAGGTATTTCGTAGTTTACACTGCTTGCATTTAAAAACCTTCCACTTGTTTTCTGTAAAGCACACCTAGCTATCTTGTTTACAAATGTATCATTTTATGTATATTTTGTATAGTGCTTTATCATGTCTGCCAAATATTCCCCTCTCCTCTCCCACTTTGGAAGTGTAGCACCTAAGCTTGCATTCATGTACTCTCTGTTTGTTGGTGTTTATCTTACAGTGAACTGTTTAAAAAATCCTCTGAAATGTACTCTTAGTCAGTCTTTCTGTGATTGTACATTAAAATGTCACTTTGTAGTATTTCTTATTGTAGATTCTCAAATTATTAAAAAGAAAGTTTGTTAGGATCTGTGCAATAAAGTGTTCGCAGTTTTATTTTCTTTAAGAAATCTCCATGGATGTCATAACCAGTGATATTTAATTAAAATATTTATACTTAATGCAGTTGCAGAACTTTGAAATAAAACTGAGCATGAAAGGGATTTGAGTTTGTTTTTTTGAAATGACCCCCTTGAATAATGTGCAAGTTATAAGAAAATGAAAAGCCAAAGTTATGTAGCTAGATACATTTGCCCCGCTGATCATTACAACCCTAAACACATTTCAGGCATAACAGTTACATGCGAATTATGTAAACAGGCATCACATACAGGGTTGGGCTGCAGGGTTTCTTTACTGGCCTCTCTGTTGACAACACCATGATCCCAGTTTTCACATATCTGGATAACTGTAGAGGAATACAGTAATAATAGAGTTTCTTATATCCAAATTTTTGATTTGATATGCATTGGATTTTTTAAAAAGGTGCTGTAGAAATGTACTGTATGGATTCTTTAGAGACAAATATGTGGGTTTGGATTTTTTTTTATTATGCCCCTTTGAAGGTTTAATGGACTTGTTACCAAATTGTACAACATAGGTAACTTCTTCATAGTTTCTGAAAGCACTGATATCCAATTAAATAGAATAAAGTATTCTTCAGATCTTGAGACATCCACAGCATCATGGAATCCTAGCCGGATAGAAGTGAAAACAAAGGTTGATGCCATGGCATATATCAAAACATGTTCAAGAGTGCAGTGACCTGTATGCTGCATAGCACATCAGTGCCACTATAGCTGCTTCAGGTGTATCCATAGTGCAGAGGTCTTGCCAATCCTCTGTTGTTCGAGTTCTAACATAAAAATATAAAACTCCTCACAATTTACATATTGCCCCTTACAGGAGCCGCATGAATCTCTGGATTGTTCTAATTGTAGAACATAAAAATAAAGAAAGCTTCCCAATTTTGTGAGTCATCCTACTGTGCCCACAGTTGTGTTTTTTTTTGTTGTTTGTTTGTTTTTGGCCATGACCATAAACACAATATGAAAGACATACAGTATAGGCCAAATCAGGGTTATATAAATCACATTATAACCTTATGAAGTCGTGTGTGAAGAATATTTTCCGGTCTGTGACCCCCTTCAAATGTGCCAGGGACCCCCAGGAGGGCATATGGATCCCATTGAGAATGGCTGTTCTAGATCATCTTGCAACATGAGCAGACTGGAAACTGCATCTTTCAGTACACAAGAATTTAGAAAGTTCTTTGCCACATAAACTGCTGACCTGAGTCCAGGGTACTGAGCAGAGATGCAGGAGCATCAGCACATGCATCGTGAGACATGCCATGATCTTGCTTCAAAGGATATGTGTGTGAATAAAAGTAACATTCTTTTTAATCCATCATTTCTGTTTGTGGCACAGGCACTGAAACAGAGATAGAAAGGTGATCAGAGGAAAACCCATGTTACTTAATCAGAAGCTAACCTTGCTAGATTATGATCTTGAGAACATTACTTGGCTCTACACTAGAGATGGACACTTTGTGTCAGGTTGTCCTAAGTCATCAGCATAGCACCATAGGTGCCACGCATTCCCTATCCCCACTTCACCCCGTTGGCTCCCCCACTCACCAGCCAGTGTGCTCTGCTTGTTGCCTCCCCGTCACACAAGTCTTCCAGTCCAGCAGGAGCACTGACTTCCCGTCTCTGCCGCCCCCAGCAGCTGCCCACTTACAGGCAGTGCTGTCAAAATCTCTGCCCTGCCCTTTGTCTGAGTGGGCAGCTGCTGGAGGAGGTGGGAAGGGAGGACCATGCTCCTTCTGGGACTGGAAAATCATACAACAGGGAAGGAATGAGTAATGCACACCAGCTGGTGATTGGGGAACCAGCAAGTGTAGGGAACATGGAGTATCTGTGGTGCCGTGCCAATGACTTAAGACAACCTGGCACAAAGTGCTTCATGCCTAACTCTATTTTAGACCACAAATCCTTGATTTTTTTTTTATCATTTCCTTCTTCAAAAAGCCCACTTATCTACCATTCCAACCCCACAACAGCTTATGTGAAATAGCTTAGGTTGAGAGATAATGACTAGCCCAAGTTGACCCACTTTAACTTTATGATTAAATGGAGACTTCAATCCAAATCTCTTACATCGTAGTCCAACACTCCTAACCATTGCACGATGTCACGAAGGAAGTCCTCGCTGTGGTGAATCAGATGCTGTAGAGAGATGTGTTTGCACATGACTGCACTGGGTGATACAGTATTTGTGACATATTAAAACACTATATGTTATATTTACTCTAATAATCTTCCCAGTTTAAAATTGAATTGGTTTTAAACAATTTCACTGTATGAAACACTACAAACAATGAGTTAATGTCATAATTTCTCTAGGTCAGTGGTCTGGGAACAGGGGTAAATTACCCCAAATGGGGTAAAAATGAAAATCCTGGGGGTAATCAGCAGAGCCTACCTTGTAGGATTTTAAGCATAACCTTGCTAGCGTGTGAAATGAGTGCGATTGTACAGAAGTTGGAGCATTCTTTGGCACTTCCCTTCTTTGGGATTGGGATGTGGACTGATCTTTTCCATTGATGATGATAAAAAAAATAGCGCACTGGTCTTTAATATTAGGCTGTGGCACCAGGGTGGGTAACATGACCTTTAGCCTGTTTTTTCTTTTTTGCACAACACACAGAATGATTCAAGTGCTAGGAACCCCCCAACTCTGTGTTGGCTGTCTCTAGCAAACATGTCATTGCTAGCACAACTCAGGCACCCATTGATGATGCAACTTGCTAGGCACGTTGGACACCTTACTACCTATACCCCCCCATGTCTGGAGTGCAATGTGTTCCAGCAAAAATAGTGCACATCTTTATTAAATTTGGTGCATCCTGCTAGTTCGGTACATAGCCTGGCAGCCATTGATACTGATTATATATCCTGCTAGTTTGGTACACAGCCTGTGTAGATTCAATAATATTTTGAATTCAAATAATGTATTATTTCCTTCCTTTCAAATCAAGGGGGTAATGTCGGCATATATAAATTTGGGGGGGGGGGGGGTAAAAAAGTTCCCTGACCCCTGCTCTAGGTCACACAATGGTTGGGCTTGGAAAATAATGGCCCTCTATTACAGCATGTGATGACTCTTCTGCATCACCACAGTAAAACATTTAAGTATGGAATATCATACTGCATTTCTCTTAACAACTTAGTTTAAAATCAGACCCAAGTTCTATGTGATTTTCCATTATTTGCATATGAAATAATATTTCATTATGATCAGAACACACATTTTCTGGCAAGATGTATCAGGAATAGATATGAGCATAAACCACCAGTTTGGTGATTCGTGCCGGTTCAGTGGTTGGCCCAACTGGTGTTCCATGTCCTGCGCCCCCCCCCCATGAGTGCACACTCAGAACCAGTGCCTGGCTTCCCTGCTCCACCTCCTTGGGGCACTGTCTTGGAAGGCGCCAGAGCTCAGAAATGCAGAAGACCTGTTGGGCCGACTGCCAAACCAGCATGAATCACTGAACTTGTGGTTCATGCCCATCTCTGACCAGGACGTTTCCAGTAAAATTTACACCTATGTTTAGGAATCAATAATGACATAAAATTGCATTTTATTTATTTATTTATTCATTCATTCATTCATTCATTCATTCATTCATTTATTTATTTGATTGATTTATATTATATCATTCATTATTTTTATTAAAATTATATGCAAAATACCAAACACATTTGTCCTCTCCAGAACAATTTACTGAATAGTAAGAAATCAAGAATCTAATTTCAATATTTTGTATGCATGTAGTCACACAATCTTCTTAAATGAATAATGCAAAGAAATAGTGGAAAATAACAGAAAAAGAAAAACCGGAGATCTGTTCAGGAAAATTGGAGATATTAGAGGAACATTTTGTGCAAAGATGGACATGATAAAGGACAAAAATGGGAGGGACCTAACAGAAGCAGAAGACATCAAGAAGAGGTGGCAAGAAAGATTTGGATATCCCAGAGAGCCCAGACAATGTAGTTGCTCACCTTGAGCCAGACATCCTGGAGAGTGAAGGCACGTGGGCCTTAGAAAGCCTGGCTAACAACAGGACCAGTGGAGGTGATGACATTCCAGT